AACTATAATATATAAAACATTGATGAGAGAAATTAAAGAAGACTGAATAAATGAATTGGTGGTAGTAATAATAATAAAATAAATGAAAAGATTACCTTACTCAAGGATCAGAAAATAGTTTAAGACGTCAGTTCTCCCCAAATTGATCTGTCTTCAGCACAGTCTCAATAAAATTTCCAGCAGGCTTCTTTTTGTTGATGGATGTTGACAAGTTAATACTAAAATTTTTATGGAAATGCAAAGAATCTAGAATATCCAAAGTAATTTTTGTCAAGAAAAACAAAGTTGGAGGACTTACCCATCTGATTTTAAAACTTACTACAAAGTTACATTAATTAAGACAGTATGATAATGGCATAGGAATGGATGTATAGATAATGGAACAGAATTGAGTATGAAATACTCACATAGATGGTCAATTGATTTTTGTTTTATTTTTTTGAGGGGGCTGAGATTTTATTCACCTTCACCTTTTGAAAATGTTTTCTTCAATCATGACATACATAGAAAAAAATGCACGTGGTTAGTTGATTTTTGACAAAGATGATAAGTCAATTCAATGAGGAAAAGATAATCTTTTCAACAAACAGTGCTGGAATAATAGGATAACCATATGCAAAAAATGTAACTTCGACCTGCACATCACATTATATGCAGTAATTAACTTGAAATAGATGGTGAACCTAAATGTAAAAGTGAAAACTATACAACTTCTAAAAGAGAACATAGGAGAAAAATCTTAGTGACTTTGGGTTACGCAAAGATTTCTTAAATAGGACACAAAAAGCACAAAAAAGAAAATTCATAACTTAGACTTAATCAAAGTTAAAAACTTTTGGTTTTTAAAAGACATTACTAAGGAAATGAAAAGCAAGGCACAGACTGGGAAAAATATTTGCAGAACATGATAAAGGACCTGTACCACAATATAGAATGGACCCTTAATGGTTCAGTGATGAGAAAAAAATCAGCAAAATATTTGAACAGACACTTCTCCAAAAGGATATAAAATGGTAAATAAGCATGGGAAAAGATATTCAACATCATTAGACTTTAGGGAAATGGAAATTAAAACCATGATGGGATACCACTGCATACCCATTAGAATGGCTAAAATTAAAAAGACTGACCATACCAAATCTTGGCAATGATAAGAAAGAATTGGAACTCTTTTTTTTTTTTTT